AGACAGGTAGACAGATACAAATAATAGACAATACATAGACAAATGGTAGATGATAGATATAAAGACAGACGGACAGACACAAAACATAGACAATTCAAATTTGCAGTAGCTGTATAAGGTACGACCCCTCGACAGTGGCGAGCCAAGGTGAATCCGAACAGGTGAATTGCTGAACTTGACCTTCCCGCGTGCACGCACACACACACAAACACACGTGCACCTTTCGCCCAGTAAAACTGCACCCGCAGCCCGATCATTCAAGCGGCCGGGGGGCGGGGGAGCCTCCCGCAGCCCGATCCTCCCCGGCCCCTCTCCCCAAATCCGGGGGCTTCCCGGAGCTCAGCGCTGCCGCGGGGGTGGGGCGCCTGCAGCTGCACCGGCGCCGGCAACGCGCCCGGCCTCCGGGGCGACCCGGGCAGCGGCCGGGCGGCAGAAAGAGGGCAAGAGGCCCCGGGAGGGGTGGGAGCAGTTCTGCCCTCCCCCGCCCCGCACAAGCGGCCCCAGCAACAGCCCCTTCGCCCCGGCCAAGCAGGCCCGCGCGCCCTTCCCGCACCCGCAGAGCCGCCGGGAGGCGACACAAAAGGAGGCGGGGGACGCGTGCACACGACCAGCCGGCCAGACCCGCGCCTTGCCGGGGGCCGGGGCGGCGGGGGAGGGAGGGGAGCGGCCGAAGGCGCCGGAGCCACTCACCGCGGTCTGCCGGGGCTGGAGACGCCGCGCCGGGAAGGAAGTTGCCCGCCGCCTCCCGGCTCTCTCCCGGCGCCCAGGAGCGGCGGGGCGGGGCGGGGGTCCCGCTACTCCCGGCCAAAGGCGTGGCCGGCTGATCGGCAGGCCGGGCTGGCCAATGCGGAGGCGGGTGGGCGGGTCTCCGCCGCCTCTCCTGGGCAACCTTCCCGGGAAGGCGCGGCTGGGCCCGCCCGAGCGGCGCCTCCCGTCTCCTCGCCCGCCCGCCGGCCCGCCCTCCGTCGGAGGAGCCCCGGAGCCCCGCGCGGCTCCCGTCGAGCCGGCCTGGCCGGACAAAGGACGCGCTCCCTGCCCCGCCTGGGCCCCTTCCGCGCCTCGGCTTGGAACCGCGGGGCCGTTGGCGTTTCACGTGGCAGGGAGTTCCGAAGGATTCGAGAGTGTCGGGGGAAGGGCCGCCGGGGGGAAAGACAAGGTGGACGCCCGACTTGACCCGGGACGGGGCCCCACCGACCCCCGCCCACATGAGCGGATTCACAGGAACGAGGAGGAAAAGCAGCAGACAGTGCAATGAAAAGGGGGGGGGGTGTCTAAGAAAGACAAGCCACTGAAAGGGACAAACACACACGCACACGCACACACACACACACACCCCTTGAGAGACGGTTGACAGAGGATGCAACTCATTGCGAGGATGCTTGGATTGCCATTTTGTTACTGTACAGGCAGTCCTCGGCATACAGCCACAATTCAGTCCAAAATTTCAATTGCTACGCAAAACAGTCGTTAAGTAAGTTGTTGACTGAATCACTGTAGTTAAAACCATTGTTTTTACTTTGTCGGAAGATACAAAAGGGGATCATGTGACTCCAGGACACTGCAACTGTCATAAATATGAGTCAATTGCCAAGCATTTAAATTTTGATCACATGACCGTGGTGCAGTGCTGCAGTGGTCGTAAGTGTGAAAAACGGTCATAAGTCACTTTTTTTTCAGGGCTGTTGTAACTTCAAATGATCACTAAATGAGCTTTTGTGTACTGCCATTCTGGTATTTTTATTTTTGTTACTATGTTGGAATTTTCTTTTTATGTTTATCTTAAAATATTGATATTTTTATCTTTATTTTACTTTCTGTACTATATATTTTCTTTTCCTGTTTATGTTTATGCGACTATTTATATTTTCTTATTCTTATCTTTATCCTACTGTATTTGCATTTTGCTTTTCAGCTTGTCCCAGGAAGTAGAGCAGCTTCAAACCCGAATTGAGTAATGAATAAATAAATTAAAATCTGGACCTATGAACCCAATCACAAAACCAGCAAAACTATCTAATTTTGCTAGTAAAATTTACAACAAAACAAAATTTACAACTATCAATGGCAATCCCCAACAGAATAGAACAGAGCAGAATTGAATAGAATTCTTTATTGGCCAAGTGTGATTGAACACACAAGGAATTTGTCTTGGTGTAAATACTGTCAGTATACATAAAAGAAAAGATACATTCATTAAGAATCAAGAATCATATCAAGGAATAACGTTTTTAACAGGGAGATGCATTCACACAACTTGCTAAACCACAGAGTACGGCATGCTGTTCCAGGTTTCTTTGCATCTCCTGTGACAGGCATTGCTGGAAAAATGGAGAAGCTGTGTCATAGATCTCTTTCCTTAGCCCTAAAGTGACCTTTGTTTCCTTTATTCTTTTTTTTTAATAGATAATCCTTGACTTACAACCATTTTTAGTGACCTTCAAAGTTACAATGACACTGAAAAAAGTGACTTGTGAAGAGTTTTCCCATTTACGGCCATTGCAGCATTCCCCCAGTCATTGTCAAAATTTGGGCACTTGGCAACTGGGATATATTCATGATGGTTAGGAGCCTCTGTGGCGCAGTGGTTAGAGTGCAGTACTGCAAGCTACTTCTGCTGCAGCCAGTTGGGCAGTTCAAATCTCAACCAGGTCCCAGGTTGACTCAGCCTTCCATCCTTCCGAGGTGGCTAAAATGAGGACCCAGATTGTTGGGGGCAAGAGGCTGACTTTGTAAACCACTTAGAGACCAGGGATGGAAAGCACTGTAAAGCTATTGCTATGGTTGCAGTGTCCTGGGATCATTTTTCGACAAGCAAAGCCAATGGGGGAAGCCAGATTTGTTTAACAACTGCAGTGATTCACATAATAACAATGGCAAAAAGGTTGTAAAATGAGGCATGACTCACTTAATAACTGCCTTGCTTTGCCATGGAAATTTTGGGCTCAGTTGTGGTCATAAGTCAAGGACCAGCTATAGCTCATTGATGAGCCTGCAACAGCAAAAAAAGGATAGAGCTTTAATCACACCATCGTGGCTGCCGTCTTGGTTACCACCTTTTTTATCTCAAGTATTTATTCTTTGGTTCCTACTCTCAATGAAAGTTGGGGTTTTCATCCAACTTCAAAAGCAGCGGATCAGACAAAGTGAGGATCAACCCATTTGCAGATGAGATCGTAAAAACGAGGTCTTTCTTAAGAGTAGAAATACGTTGCTTACTGCTGAAGTGTTTTATGAGAATCTTTCACACCGTTTGTCCAGGTTGAATAGAGGGAAAGTGAACAATGCCTGAAGACAATTATTTCATTTTTGTAATATTATTTATCTAATGCCTTAACTTGATGTTTCTCAACCTTGGCAGTTCTAAATTGTGTGGACTTCAACTCCCAGAATTCCCAAGCTAACCAGGGGAATTCTGGGAGTTGAAGTCCACATGGCTTAGAATTGCCAGGGTTGACACCATTGCATTAGAAGATAAATAAATCTGTCTGGACAGGAATGAGCACTGACAAACTAGCACTGATGACCATGTCAACTCCTCTTACTTTCCCCTTGATTGGAAATTTAAGTTTGTGCGTTTGCAAGATGGAATTGAGAGGCATTCATGTGCAAATGTGCAAGATTTCACTAGGCAGAAGAAAAGTGTTAATGGTTTTTGATGCAAGAAAGACTGAACTATAAACCTGACCAACTCAGGTTGCTAGTATTCCTGCGGCTTCAAAATCAGGTTCACACTACAGATTAGGAGCACAGTAAGACTTATTAATAAAGCAGTTTCCTCTGTTTTCCTTTACAGCATTTCTTCCTTGCTACAGTCATTATTTGCAGAGTGCAGGGCTCTCCAAACTCGGCAATGTTAAGACTTTAAGACCTGTGGACTTCAACTCCCAGAATTCTGCATAGCACATTAGCACAAGTGTTAAAAGTTGCCAAGTTTAGTCTTAGGGCATTGAAACTCTCTGTCCTGTGATGGGAGAGTTTCGAAATAGGCTCAGCCTTTAAGGAGAGTGCAGAGCTGAAGGACATCCGCTTGAGGTTACAAGGAACACCCGTTCCCACCCTTTCCTTGAGCTACCCCACCCATCCCCTCTCCCGCTGATAAATTTTTCTGCTTGCCATGGTAACAAATCCCAAGTCTGTTTTCATTTGCGTTGCTCATCTGATTTCCACAGGAAAGAAAAAAGAGGAGAGGAAAGGAGTGAAGAGGGGGAGAAAAGAGAAAGAGGGAAAAAAGAAAGGAAAGACAGGCAGACAGACAGACCCGAAGGGGAGTGGTAGAGTGTGAGAAAGACATTTGGAAGACCCACTAAGCCAACAGATGGTCCTACGTGTATTGATCTGGCTGCTTTCAAGATAGTCAGAGTCCTAGAAACAAGACATTCAACAACTCTGCAAGAATCCCTCAGGGGAAAGGATAGGATTGTCCAAACCAAGCCAGGGACAAGATACTGTATTTTTGCAGGAAGCATCCTTGGTCCATCATCTTCACAAGGTGTCATGTGTTAAAACATAGGACATAGAACAATAGGCTTAGAAGGGACCTTGGAGGTCTTCTACTCCTACCCCCTATACAAATTGTGGTCCAGTCTCTTCTTGTCCACTGATGGACAAGAGCACCCACTACTTCTGGAGACAAACTGTTCTCACTATCAGAACTTTCCCCCAGTTCTATAATATGGCAAATTTTGACAGCGTGGTTCAGTGTTTCTCAACCTTGGCAACATTAAGATGTCTGGACTTCAGCTCCCAGAATTCCCCAGCCAGCATGCTTTGAGGATTAATGGTAAAACAGTTGGAAAAAACTCAGCAAACTTTGTTTTTTCATATGACAACTGTAGAGAGATTGCTATACGTTCAAAAATGAGCTGAAGTCCACATGTCTTAAAGTTGCCAAGGTTGGCTAACACAGGTATAGATACTCACCAAGATACACATTTCCAGACAAAGGGGCATAAAAATCATTCCTTCCGCTCTCCAGGTGAGGGCTTTTACATTCAGAAACCGGTGAGAAATGTTTTTTTATAACAACTGATCTTAACAATCTCTTTGATAGCCTGTTGAGCAAGATATCATGCATACTGATCAAAATGCTTGTAGGAAAGGGTATTTGTGTGTGCATCCCTATATAGGTTGCCATGCAACCGGAACTCTCGGTAGAATTTTTATAACATTGTGCCAAGGGTATCCGCTGGGGGGTCAAAACAGTGATGCCATGGAATCAAAGGCCCATCTGTTTTGCACATTAAACAGTGAGGAGGACTTCAAATGCACAATTGGACATCGCAAGCATTTTGATCTAGCTTTCTGCAGCTCCCACGGTCTGTGTAGAGCTCTCTTCCCTGCAAATATTTTACTGTGGGTCAAAAAAATCAGGAGGAGATTCTGTCCGTAGTGCACAAAATGGGGAGATGTTTCTGTAGCTTTTTCTGCACAACTTGGAAGATGAAAAGGTTAATCTCAGAAAACTGACTGCAGCTGCACATACACACACACACATTTTATTTATTTATGGATTTATTTATATTTATTATTAAACATGGATGCTGCTTGGCTCCCAGGGAGCCTGGGCTACAAACAACAAAGAAATTTCAATAAAACTAAGAAAAGGAAGGAACAAGATAAAATAGGACGACCACAACAGAAGTCATGGAATGAAGCAAAGGGCCTCACTTTATCACTTTATAAATAATACTGCTTTATAAATCCTTAGACCACACCTGTAATATTGCATCCAGTTTTGGTCACAACTTT